AGTCCAATATAAGAAAAGAGTTTAGAGAAGGAGTAACATTTGTTTCAAATGTGTGGTGGAAAGTCCTGTTGACAAATGTCACAGAAGAGGAGGGTGTAAGGTTCTATTTGTTTTAACGGTCTACGTTTTTCTTAAAATGTTTCGTTCCTTTTTTTTTTTTTTCCTCAGAGAGTTTTTGGGCTGAAGGAGCTTTGGAGGGAAAGCAAAAAATCAAAATGTAGCAGATTATTTCCTTCCTGCGGTCTCTTGGCTGTCTCCCCCATGCTGCATTATAAATAAAATCGTGGGATAGCATCACAAAGGAAAGTCGCTTGCTAGTATAAGCACCGTCTTCGAGGTTCATGGGCCCGGATCTCTGGTGGCATCTGTTAGCCGTGTGACCCTGGGTCTTTCTGAAATGCACAGTGAGAAGTTCATCGGGTTCAATTGATAGTACCTGAGAAAATATATGGGAAGTTCTTAGCACAGTGCCTAGGCATCGCACACACTCAAAAATGTTAATTAACATTTTATAGTCATTATTTAGAAGGGTTAGTGTCTTGGAAAAGAGGGAAATCGGTGTGAAGGGGCACATGGGGACAAGCTAGGCCCAGAGGTAGCTCAGAGTGGTGGGACCTCGTATTCTGTCCAGAGATGGCCGCGTGTGCTCGCTCCTCAGCGTCCAGCCTTGCCCCCAGCTCAAAGCTTCCTTTCCTCAGGACATTTACTGGAAAAGCTAATGCATATAGAAATCTGTGATAATTACAGACGTGAACGATGGTGACTAGAGTTGTGTCGTGTCCAACTCACAAAGCTGTACCCAGCGGGTGGCCCTGAACCACACCCCTGAGATGGCTCGACCCTGGTTTTAGTGTCTTCTTCATTTGCCGCCGTCTCGTTCCCCCTTAAATTCTTTCTGGGCCAAGGCAGGGTACGTATGCAGACACGTCACCACACAGACGGGAGGAAGGAGTTTGAAAGTCTGTGTTTGGGGAGAGGCTGCCTCAGATGCCACCTGGGGCTGCTACCTGCCTGCTGCGCATCACGCAGGAGTCAATTAGCTCCTCCTTCCACAGTTGGTTAGTTAACATGGGGAACTCGTCGTCACCCCTAGAAGCCGGTTTGGATTGCACATATAGCCGTATTTAAGAGAAGCTGACTTCGGGATTGCTAGGGTAGCAGGCGGGTTGGGCACAATCAAAGCTGAAACCCAGAGTCGAGCGAAGAAGATGGCGCGGCCACGTTCAGCTAAGTGTTTTGTTTCTTACTTTGTTGGATGAAAAAGTCGCCTCGCAGGGTTTATCCAATCATAAAATCCGAACTGGGCAGGTCATGGTGGGCAGTCACATCCCAGCTACGTAACTTTTTAGTAAAACATTTATCTTTGCCTTAAGCGAATCCTGCCCACTGTTTCTGTGCCTCTCGGTTAACACCTTTGAAATGAGCCATAACCACCCTCAGGAAAGCACATGATCTTGTTAATTATTCGGGAAGCAGATCCCCGCCTCGCTTTCTCCCACCCCCACGCCATCTCTACGTTCCCTCCTTAATTTCAAATGCATAAAATAAGCTGCAAAACTGTTATTCTCCGGAGCATTTGAGATCTCACTCCCTGGCATATATCATCAGTTTGGCGTAAATAAGCTCTCATGAAAATTCTCTACAGTTTTAGACGTTTCTTACGCTGAGACTTTTTTTTTTTTGGTCTTCTGCCTGCCAGTCCTCTGCTGCTTTGTCTGCCGCAGAGGCTACATCCGGGTCTTTTCCCTGCCCCTCCATATTGCGGACTCACCCTGGGACAAGAGTAGAAACCTGTTCGATGGCTGAATTGTAGGTATGACTGTGAGCAAGGGTCCCCATCCCCCGGGCCGTGGGCCGGACCCGGTCTGTGGCCTGTTAGGAACTGGGCTGCACAGCAGGAGGTGAGCAGCGGGCCAGCAAGCGAAGCTTCGTCTGTATGTGCAGCTGCTCCCCAACGCTAGCATCACCGCCTCAGCTCCACCTCAGATCATCAGGCATTAGGTTCTCCTAGGAGGACTGATCTCTGGTGCCAAACGTTTGGGGACGGCTGGCAGGGTAGAACAAGCCTTGGGGGCAAACAAAGCTGGCTCCAGCATGTGCCAATGGGAGGAAACTCACTTTGGGAGCCTTGGGGCTTTGTGGCTAGTGTGGCGACGGTGCTGGGAGCGGCTGAGACTGGTGAATGGCGGAGAATTCCTGCAGGAGGTGACGTGTTCGGGCCCAGTTACAAGGAATCTGTAGCCCGGAAATACAAGACTCCTGGACATGGGCACAGGAGAATCAGGAAAAGTCCTCAAGTACCAAGAGGGGCACCGTCCTGGGAGTACTGGTCACAGCAAGTCAGGGTGCAGTTCTGTGGCAGCCGGGAGGGTTACACAGTAGGACTAGGGCAGGGACAGCTGATTTCAGGGCCCGTTAATTGGAGCTGGGCCGGGAGGAGAGGGCTTAATTCCGGAAACAAGGCGGAGCCCAAGTACTTAAAGGTGACGGGGGACAGGTGACGGGGGACGGGGACGGTAGGATGGGATGATTCGCTCAGCAGGTTTTGGCCTACAGGCAGTCCTCATTTTATTGCCCTTTGCTTTGTTGTGCTTCACAGATGTTGCGTTTTGTTTGTTTGTTTGTTTGGTTGGTTGGTTTTTACAAACTGAAGGCAACACCCTCCCCCAGCAGAGATGACACATTCGCTTTATGGTACAGTCGCTTTATCGCCACGGTCTGGAACCAAACTGGCAGTAACTCTGAGGTACGCCTATGCTTTCCCTTAGCAACCCCCTAACCGAGTTTCTGAGGCTCGGGTAGAGACTGAGGCTGAGCCTGCAAGTGAGGCTCTGGTGGTCCCCCTGTGGGGAGTGATGAGCAGGAGCCTGCAGGGCCCTGTGTCCCGTGTCCCTCTGGTCCTGAGCCCAGGCCCTCCTCGCTGCTCTGCCTCCCTGGGATCCGCGGCTGGGAGGTCTTACCAACTCCTCGTCCCTCTAGGTCAGTCGGACTCGCCATCCGGGACTCTAAATCTAGTTAATCTCACCCCCGAGCTCAAGACAAACAGGCCAAGTCCCATCCCTTGACGGCTGAGATGAATCCAAGCCCTTGCGATCCGCGATTAAAGAGAAGCCAGGAGTTTTCTGGGAGTGTTTATGCTTCCCGAATTTCCATCAGTGTTCCTGGCCTTCCCTTAGGATTATCTCGCCCTGGTGTTCCCCATTTTCATATGCAATTAGTGATCGAGGAGACCAATTATCCTGGCTTCTTTCTCTTATTTCCTCTGTCTCGGCAGCAGCCCGGTCCTCCCCACCCACTGCCTAGAGAATTGAACTCAGAAGTCTATTCGTCCCTTCCATTCTGCAGAGTCACTCTGTGTTTCTGGGTACTACGTGCCATTTACACGTACCCAGTCCACTTTGAAATGTTGGGTTTTATCTTCTCTTACGTCCTATAAAATGTACTACTTTGTTCTCTCACTCCTCGATTCACTAATAACTTATTGAGAGCCTGTTTCACTTTGAAATGTTGGGTTTATCTTCTCATGCCCTATAAAATGTGCCACTTTGTTCTCTCGCTCCTCGATTCACTAATAACTTATTGAGAGCCTGTTTCCCAGAGCCTGAGAGGCCCCGTGTCCTCACCTCTACTGCAGACTCTGGGCCCATAACACATAGAGCTCATTAAAGATCCCTGCTCAGGTCCACTTACTTCCCAGGTAAGAACTTTGTTCCTCCAACGAATACTTTTCTTCTCATTTGAACCTATCTATTTACAAATCTACCACCACCTTAAATCTTTTAAACCTCTGCACCTTGTAAAATACATAAGGTGCTAAAGAGCCTGTCTTTCCAGCAAATCTTTGGTTTGAATATGGATAAAGCCCTTATCACAGGACCAACTGGAAAAAACAAACAAACAAACGATCTAATTCTAAAATCTTTTATTTTGCAAAGTGAAATCCTTTGACTTCCATCTGTCTCTTAAAGGGCAAGTGACTGTAAATGATTCGGAGAAAACTGATATATATCGGTATAAAATGGCGGGTTCCTTAGCCACATTTATCTGATTTTCCTGAAAAACTGCCAGAGAGAAAGTTCTCACTTTTATCCACCTTCATTGTTACCTCTGGAGCAGCTCTCTCCATAGCAACTGAAAACTTCACTGGGCTGAAATAATCCTCTCCAGCTCCCAGCGCACAGGCAAAGAATTTTAAAAACGAAGGACTTTGTAACCACAAGATACTCTCGGAGGTTTGAGAGGCTGCACAGTTCTGGAAAAATAATTATTTATCTTTCTTCTGAAGGTAAGCACTGGGTTTAGAAATGCTTGTATCATCTGCTGTCATTTTAAAAATACTAACATAAGAATCTTAAACTCCTTTTTTTAGTAAGCATTAAAGTAACCCCAATATATTCGGCACTGCCCCCACAGTCATAATGAGCTCATCTCTGGGCCAGGATCTGACAGGAGATGCTGTTTTCATTTCTTAAGTAACTAGTTGAAGAGATTAATTTTTTTTCCAGGAAGCTGATTAGCTCTAAAGTCGTGCCCACCCTTTAGCTGAGTATGTGGCATTTTGAGGTCTCATGTGGCTTATGAGGTCTTGAAATCCTCTTGTTTTTTAAAGATAGTTTGTACTCTTAATAAACTGACCTAGAAAACGACCAGCGTTTTCTAGATGTTACTATTTTCTTCTAGTACCCTTCTTTGTCTAAAAGCTTCTAACTCGACATGATATTCATAACTCATTAACATTTATTTTCTCTTTACTTTTACTTACTTATTTCAGTAACGAAGACCACAAACCACTGGGAGTTTATCTCAACAATGAGATAAAATGAGAGTGTTTCCTGTCTCTGGTCTCATGACTTGTACCACCTGCAGGATAAACAGAAAAACTTATTCTTTCTCATTTTTGACTCTAGGCTGAGTTCAGAGCGAGGCGGTAGAATGAAATTCTTGGCTGTTCGACAGTTTGCAGGTCTACAACCACCATAGTTTCCTGTCGTTTGGGGGTTATAAATGACCCACAGGCCCCCTGTTGTTCAGAAAGAGCTTGTCATTGCAAATCAGCTTAGCCACCCAATTAACGAATCCTTTCAAACATGTTGCAGGCCCAATAATTAAAGCCTTTATTTTCCCCCTTTACCACAGAAATTCCTCTGGATACAAGTTCCTACCGTGAACCCTCACCCACCCATCTCCATCAAAGACTCGAGGTAAAGGAAGAAGGGAAATGTGCTTCTGGACAAATCGTTTGGTATTCTCGGTGCTGTCGTTCCTTCTGCTCAGCCTTGTTCCTTCTACTGAGACAGAAAACCCCTCCACCCAGGATGGTGGTGGCACTTGGAGTCCTGGCCAACTGACAGAAGTCCTCCGAGGTCTCTCTGCTGGTGACCACCCGCCCCTGAACCACTCACGAAGCTTCATCAAAGCATTGCTGGAGAAAACCGGCTGCCCACGCAGCACCCGCGGGATGCAAGGAGACTGCCATCTGGTTAGTGCCGTGGAATGGGATCAGGTACTGGGTAGGGCATGTTCACAAGAGAGCGACCGTCTCTAGCCATTTACTTCAGTCAAGCAAAATCGAAGGCATACCTTCCAGTACCCCAGGGTGCAGTGCGTTGTGGTACACTAGCTCCCATAGCTGGGAGTCAACAAGGCATTCAGCATGCCGCATAAAGCATTTAAAGACAGGGAGACTATCTTTGTCAACTTAAATGGTAATGTTCATGTAAGCCTGTCTACAACCCTTCTGCGGATTGAGAGGTATGGATTTGTGATGTGAACTGAGTTCTCTCTTCTTTCTGGTTTAACTAATCCTTTTTTGAGAGCTGGTGGTGAATTTGCACATGATTAGTTAGCTAGAGGCTATTTGTTTTCTGAGGCATAATAGTAGCGATCTGATATTTGCCTAATGTTGGATTTTTAAGTCCTTTCTCCTGGATATCGATTGGCTGTTTTCTATATATTTTTGCATGGCGGATAGTGAATGAATTGGATAATCATCTTCTCAAAACTGGGGAATCTGAGCTGAGGAAGGGGTGTTTCACAGGTAGAGCTAAAATGAAACCCAACAAAATATCCATGTTGGGGCTTCCTCTTCCAGAGATTGTGATTGAACTTGCCTGGGATGGAATTTTTAAAAATCTCTGCAGGCCACTTTAATGTATAGTCAGCGTTAATGTAAAACCAGCATTTAATGTGAAATCAGAATGTCTCCATTAGGGTGGGTGGGTAGCATGGGGGTGGGGCGGAGATTAACAGGAGTAGCACAAGAGGTAGGATGCATGTCTTAAAATGACCACAAAAAAAAACCCCAAAAACCTTCACCATCCCTTTCCTGACCGATGAGATTTTTCAGTATGAACCTACAAATAAATAAATAGAGATGCCAAAAAATTAATAAGAGAACCAAATAGCTGCCCCCCCCAATAAATTTTGGCAGACTTGCTCAATCCTGATTGGTTGTAGGGGGGACAGTTCTTGGCCAAGTGGTTTGTTTTTTTTCATGACAGAAGGGTCTTGCCATAGAGAAAATTTTTCTGTTCTATGCAAACAATAAATAATTCAATAATTAGTATAGTTCCCAAGGGTTCCCAGAGGCAACATGTGTTTCAATAGGCAACTCAGCTGTGATGACATTAATTGATATACATAGCAACATGAGACTTCCCACTGGAAATAACTAGGAGTCACATCTTATTAATGCCTTCTGAGAATTTGCTTCAGGGAAATGTTCTTCTCTAATGGCATGAAGTGCCTTATTGAGTCTGGTTGAATATTAGCTTAGTTAGGGAGAATGTAAATATGCAGACTTGACCTCCAATTTTTTGGGGGGGGGGAGGGGAGGAGTTGTTTTGCACTTTTTGGGTTCTGTGACATTATTGAGAGTTTGACTGAGTTAGCTCCTGTTTGAATTAGTTCCATCCCTAGGAATTAAAACACTCTTTAATAGTCTCACCCTCTTGCTATTTCTCTTTCTCTGTGAAACAGACTGAGGTTAAAAAAAAAAAAAAAAGGGAACTCTGAGATTAACCTGTTCAGAGGGCTACCATTCACTCGAATCACCCATAAGCGAGGAGCCACAAAGTCTCCCCGTGTCATTCGTAAAATGCCAGGGAGAAACAGTGGCCTATGGATTTCACAAACACCCACCTTCATGGCGCAAACCACAGGATTCAGGTTGTTGAGTCTTTTTTGTCTTTTTAGGGACTTTGTCCACTGAGAGGCAGCATACGTATTAGAAAATTTGTGGTAAAAAGAAGGCAGAAGGGCGAGTTTATATCCCTAAATGTCTGAAAAGAGGAAAGTGGGGAATCTTGAATTGGTAGGGAGGGGGAAAAAAAGTCCCCAATTTTATTTTAGGTCTACGTAAAAGCCGATTTTTTTTTTTTTTAATCTGAAATATTTGAGAGCGCTGGGCGTTTAAAAATAAATCCATTCAAGCTGCTGCCTTGGGAAATGAAAAGTCTTGCCTGATCGTGGCTTCTCTTTTTAATGAGAAGGGTTAGAATGGAGTTTTAATGAATTTAATGAAGGATTAAGTAACTCCAAAAGAATAAATGCTGCTTCTGTCATGAGAACCACGACCCTACCTGGAATACAGGCACGGCAAGGGGAAGAGACCCAGGTATCTGCCTGAGCCCATGACTGGCTCGAACCCTCGTTCTGGCACCTTCTAGCTGTTGGGGTATGCTAAACCTCAACTCCCTCAGCCCTAAGAGCGAGGCGGTGGTTCTCCCCTCCAGGAGCTCTCCGTGAGGACCACGCGGCCGTGATAAATGCCCTTGAATGCAGGAGCTCCAGTGCCCCCCACGCCTTTACCATCCCTGTACCTCAAGGAGATGTCCAGTCCCTCCTTTTCCAGGCACACGGGAGCCTGGTTTATGAAGCGCCCGCAGTGCTGTTGAGAAATAATAAGCCATTCCTTGGCATCCCCCTCCTGCTCATCCCGCAGCCGCCCTCGACTGTCCAGGGGCTTGGGGTTTTGAGCCAAGCCCTTCTCAGACACGTTCGAAGAGGAGAACCACTGCCTCGAGGTCTTGCATTTAACGTACACCCCTCCCCGAATTTGTCATAGTTGTCAGGGGGTAAAGTGTGAAAAGCATCAAGCTTTTTCTTAAGTTTATCTAACAAGTTGATCTTAACTCTTCTCCGTTAAGACTTTTTCTCAGTCAGAAATGCTACTAAATCCAGCACAGACCCCCAAAAAGCTAGTGCCTGCCGTTGGCCGACATCCTTCCAGACCTTTGTTTGGATAAACAAAGGAATAAAAAGAAATACAATTTCCCTCTTGTGTTTTATAGCCAATTGTTAGCACCCCCACAGCCCCCCAAAATACATCTTATAAAAATCTGAGAACTTTGAAAAAGGTCATTGGGTTTACTTATAATCCAGAATCAAACTCTACACATCTTTTGGGCTAAAACGCCTGCGGTTTATCCTGCAGGTGTGACAACTGCCTTATTCATGTAGAAGAGGAAAGATTTCATGTCCTTGTCACTGAGGCTCTCACCTGGCCGACACAAACAAGAGACAGAGCTGAATTAAGCAGCTCAAGGAGACAGTCCGCCTGGGCTACAGTGTGCCACAGAAAATTACTGCCAAGTATGAGAGCAGTCCATTTAATTTAGTAAGGAGGGCTTCTCGCATTTTAACTAGTCTTCCCCCAGCGTTTATAAAGTCTTAAAAACGAATTCCTGGAATCAAGGTTTTTTTTTTTTTTTTCTCTTCAAACTTGTGCTTCCACCCGACAAGATTAAAAGGAAAATCAATGGATTATTCCTGAATGAGCCCATTCTTCTTTAACAAAGAATCACTTCATCAGAGTCAGAGCTTTGGACAAATCTTGATGCCTATGGGGTGACAGTGTGTACACAGTTTTACTAAACATCCTCTCCCAAACCCAGCCGAGCCACTGCAAAAACTTGGGCAGATGAAACTAGTGGCGATGAACTGAAAATTTCAGCTTCCCTTGAACCCCGCCCTTCACCCCAGTGCTCAGAGGAAAATTCATGTTTTCTTAGGTTAGCTCTTCTGACGTTCCCTACAGCATTCTTTCTTCAAGCCACCACCTTCTGTAGGAAGGGACGGTGTCTGAGAATCAAGCACCGTAAAAAAGCGCCAAGTGTTCATCCCTTAGTCATTTGGTTCACCATTAAGCTTCCTTTTAGCAGACCTCAAAAAATTAAAGCAACATCGGTTGTTCCAGACAGACAAACAGACAAAATGAGCTGCTTCAACTACTTAAAAGTTTTCAAAGTCGAACCGATTTTCCTTCCAAATTGTATGCTTTTTGCAAACCCTTTCTGGAGTGAACGTCTGCAGGGCGACTGATGTTACCCTCTTCTCTGCTGCCCCATGTCACACCCCAACCATCCCAACCCTAGGAAGAGACATAGCAAGAGCATTGAGGAGAAGCCGCGAATGGGCAGGGGTCTCAGGCACCTCAGATGGGACGAAGGGTGGCCACGTCACTGTCGCGTGCTGTCACCCGTGCCGTGGCCACTCCTGTGGTCTGGTGGCTTCGTGGAGTTCCTGCTCTTCATGTTCTTGATGCTCTTCTCCTTGCCTACCCAGCCCCTCCAACAGCCTGAACAGCACTTGAGAGTCTGTGACCACGAACTCTTTCAACACGCTGGTGGTGCCGTGTGCTCACTGACGGATATCAGAGCCTTACCGAGCCCCCGGCCTCCTCACGGGCTGTATTTATTCCTACCAAACAGGAGGAAGAGAGAATTACTGGGTGAGGGGCTGCATGGCAAGTACGTAGTTGGATCCACAGCTTATCTTCTCCATGCCACGAAACAGTGGAATAAGAGAATAAAGTATATCACTGGCCGAGCAGGAGTTAAGATTGGACAACCACAGTTAGCTGTGTTTGCCTCCCCTTAGTTTTCATGTAGACTGTGGGTTCACCTTCCTCAGAAGGAAGAGTTTATACTTGATTTTGTGCAGCATCCTTGCATACTGTATAAATGTACCTATTAATTAATTCATTATACATTAAATAATTGAGTAATTGGTATTCTACATGCTTTATATTTGCAGAAATATTTGGCAGATTATTGTATAAGTTGGGGACTTTTTTTTTTTTAAATTTAAAATAAGGTTCCCACCATCGAAAAATTCATTATCTGGCACTTTTTCCAGAACCAATTAGATTTATACATTGAAAATACCTGAATCCATAAGGTGCTTAGCACTCTTTTGGACACAGGGCATCCAAAAAATGATAGCTAATATTACCAATACTTTGGTTTCAGGAGGTTATTTGGTACAAGGAATGGCTCTATTACACTTGTTTCAACTGATTTACTTTTTTGGGTCTCAGTATCAGTTCGGCCAACAGCTACCAAGCCACGGACCTTTCTCGTGGACTAGTGAGGGACAGAGAAGGGCTGCTGGTTTTGGCGGTGGAACTTAATTAATATTCAAATTGAGCTGGTCTTGTTGGGAAGCCTGTCTCTCTGCTGGCTAGTTCTCGTCCCCTTATAGCCGAGTTGGCATGAGACTGGAATCTGCGTGGCTTGTGAAGAATGTGATTAATGCTTTGCTTTAGAGATGGATGACATGTTTCTTTTTGACTCTGATGGTTTTTATCAGATGTTACCCAGTGGAGTACACAGAAGGCATGGGATTAGAACCCCTGAAGCTTCTATTTCAGAGAATAGATTGAAAGATGTTATAGTAATATAATATTATAATTATGGTGACAAGGTGGGCAAAATGGGTAAAGGGAGTCAAAAATATACCAACTTCCATTAATAAGATAATTAAGTCCCGGGGGTGTGATGTGCAGTGTGGTGACTACAGTTAATACTGTTGCATGTTTGAAATTTGCTAAGGGAGTAGATCTTAAAACATTCTCATCACAAGAAAAAAAATTTTTAACTATGTATGGTGACGGGTGTTAACGAGACGTGTTGCGATCATTTTGCAATATACATAAATATCGAATCATGATATTGTACATCTGAAACCAATATGATTCTATATATCAAGTATACCTCCATTACAAAACAGGTATTAGAGTAAATGGTCCCACGGTGGGACACATCCCTCCGGGACTCAGGACTTAGGTGCCTTCATTCTGAGCTCGGTGCCCTGTAATGGGCTGCTTCTGAGATCCTGGGAATTCTCTGGAGCTCCCCGACTGTCTCTCCAGAAAGGCAGCTCCCATCTTGCTGGGAAGGCGTCCCCTCTGCACCCAACGTGTCTGTCTCGTTCTCACTGTCCCACCACATAACCCCAAATACCCCTTTCTGCCATGTAATCTTTGGATCAGATGAGCCAGGTGTTTGTCTGTGAGTCGTGAAACATATAAAGCATTGTGGAAACAGCTTCAGCCATTCTCTTAGGTCGGATGAGAGAGGCAGGTGTACATGCGTTCCGTTTTCACACCTTGAAAGTGCCAGGCACTGTAGTAGATGCCGAGGCGAACTGTGCACAAAGCAGATGAAACTGGCCTTCATGGACCAGTTGTCCTCAGGGGGAGAGAGAAAAAACAAAAGAAAAACATAGTCATTTTAGAACGCTAGTGCTACGAAGAAAATTAAAAAATGGTGTATGCCAGAGCTGCCACTAGCTGCACTGTGGCTGTTGGGCACTTGATGTGTGGCTCGTCTGAATTGAGTGTGCTGGTCAGTGTAGAGTACACACCAGATTTCAAGACTCAGCAGGACACAAAGAATGTCAAAAAGCTCATTAGTAATTTTTTTCTTTAGCTGTAAGATGTAAACTGTCAAACTGTTTTCCAGGGTGTTGTACTGCTTTGCATTCCCACTGATATGGGTTACAGTTTCTCTGGATCTTGACAGCGTTTAGTATTGTCAGAGTTTTTCCTTTCCTTTTTTTTTTTTTTTTTTTTTTTTTTTAAAGCCATTCTAATGGGTATGTAGTGGTTCTCATCGTGGCTGTATTTTGTGTTCCCCTAATGGCTAATGCTGTGGAATATTTTTTCATGGGCTTATTTACCATCATCTCTTCTCTTTGGTGAAGTGTCTGGTCTATTTCTTAACTGAATTGTTTATTTTTCTACTGTTGAGTTTTAAGAGTTTTTCCCCCTATCCCTCCCACCCCTTTGTCAACCATCAGCTTATTTTCTATATCTATGGGCCTATTTCAGCTTTGTTTTGTGTATTGTTTTGTTTCATTTTTAGAGTCCACATATAAGTGAAATCATATGTAATTTTGACAAATTTTGATTCCACGTTGAAATAAATCTTGCATATAGAAGTTTCAACGATTATATATGATTAAAATATGATAAAAATATATGATTACTTTCACCAGTTCCTTTTTACTTTTTTAAAATATGGCTACTAGTAAATTTAAAATGCTACATGTGGTTCCCATTTGTGGCTTGCATTATATTCCTAGTGAACAACGGGATAGGGCTGGGGGCTTTCAGCTCTGGACGGGGCATTCGGAAAGCATCCATGAGGGGTGGCACTTTCAACTGAGACCAGAGAAATGAGGAGAACAAGACCTGAGAGAGTGGGTGGTGGGGGTGGGGGGAACTTGGTGGAACCGACAGAAAAATCACAGGGCAGAAGTCTGACGACAGAGGTGGAGAGAAGCTATCATGAGGTCTGGGAGGTAGCATAGGCAGGAGCCCGTCCAAGGAGAAAACTGCAAGGAGCATGGATTTCATTCTAAATGCAGTGGGGCGGCGTTGCTTTAAAAGCCAAAGAGGCTGGTTTTACTCAAGGTGGCAAATGGATGACTTGGGGCGCAGTAGGTGGAGATAACGGACCACTCTTAGAGAATAAGGACGTCCTGGGAGGGCATCACTGTTACGTAAAAGTCCAACCATGGCTCTCTTATTTGAATCTGGCTACTCACTTTCCCCTCTTATTGATATAGTTATGAGCAGCGGAGACTCCGTGGTCACTGGTGTTAGGAGTATTTGCTAAGCTTTGTCTCTGTTTTTGTTTCTTTTCATTTTTGTTTGTTTTCGTTTTCATTTTTTTTTGCCCAGTGCTTTGAACCAGATGCCCTGTTGCTAATAGCTGGAGGAGATTTTGAAGACCAGCTCAGAGAGGAAGTGGTACAGAGAGTTTCTCTTCTCCTCCTCTATTACATTATTCATCAGGAGGAGATCTGTTCTTCAAAGCTCGACATGAGCGATAGGGAGTATAAGTTTTACCTACACAGCCTCCTCAGCCTCCGGCAGGATGAAGACTCCTACTTCCTCTCCCAGAATGAGACGGAAGATATCCTGGCATTCACCAGGCAGCATTTCCACACTTCTAGAAGCCAGGTAAGAAAGGCAAAACTGCTAAGCGTCTCTGCTACTAAGACGCAGTCTGGGAGCCTTATTTTTCATCAATTATTTATTCCTGAGACTTTCGAGGACTTCTAACAGAAGTTAAGTGTTTGTGGTTTTTAGCCGTGGGATGTTAAGGGATGTAGTCTGAAATTCTGAGTCTAAAAGGGGAAACAGAGTGACTAATTATTGTAAGATGAGTTTGAGCCAGAAGTTGGGTGGGTGGGTGGGCGGGCAGGCCAGGTGACAGGGCAGCTCTCTTCTCCTGAGGCCTCCTGAGCAGGAAAGTAAGTGTGAGTCACAGCTTATGATCCGTCTCCAAGGATGAACCCATCGAGGTCAAGCCACTGTGTCTATTTGTCTTGCCTTCTGGCTGGGAAAGGAGAAAGAAAAACCAGTTCGAGAGAGATGAATTAATTATTTCACCAAAGCGGCAACTTGCAAAAAGGATGATTCATGACAGCGCAGATGATATCTGCTTTGTGGTTTGAGGCGGGCTGCATAAATTTGGGGTGCCTTCAAGTGCTTCTCTTCTCTCGCAGCTCCCACCCTTAGGAAATGGCCCTCGGTCTCCTTTTGGCGCCATCATTATCCCAGAAAACCTGGCTTTCCAGTTACTTTGTTACATTCCACTTTGCGGTGGGAAAGGTTGAGCAGATACATTTCTCTAGACATAAGAAACTTTTTAAAAATAACATTTTGAAGAGTGTGGGAAAATATATATATTTTTTCCCTTGAGATATCCATCGATATGCGTCTTAGTCCGTTTGAAATGTGGTAAACTGTGTATCTTATAAACCATGGAAATGTGTTCCTCACAGTTTTAGGTGGTGGGAAGTCCGAGGTCGAGATGCGAGCAGATTCGGTGCCTGGTGTGAACCCCTTCCTGGTTCACAGGTGTCGTTTTCTCGCTGTGTCTTCACATGATGGAAGAGGCAGGGAGGTCCCTGGGGTCCCTATTATAAGGGCAGGAATCCCATTCCTGAGGGCTCCGCCCTCATAACCTCATTACCTCCCAAAGACCCCACCTCTTAATGCCATCGCATTAGGGGTTAAGATTTCAACATGTGGGTTTTGGAGGGACACAGACATTCAGACTATAGCAACATATATTGATGAATTTGATTTTTGGCCTCAATTCTGGCTCCTAGGAACCCAAAGGTATCATGCTTCAGCTTACCGGCCAGCAAACACATCCTCTAATTTGCTCTAGATATGTTTAATTTTTCTCGTTATTGGCAGGACAAGTGGAAAAACTATTTCCTAAGGACTCTGTGAACATCACTTCAGTAGCTAATCTCAGGGATCTCAAAATCTGGCCATGTTTTTTGTTTGTATTTCCAATTGAGAAAATGAGGTTCCTTCATAAAATTTCATTTTCTGCTTAAGTAAGGAAGCGTGCCTACATATCATTTCCCCAGTGCAACATCTGTACAAGACTGGTTCAGATTAGCCACCGGGATTCTAGTCATCCTATCTGCTCCCGCCTTTTGACGTTTGATGCGGATAAACTGGAAATGGAAACCCAGCACTCAAAAAAGCAGAGGATGTGTGTATATTCAACACAGATTTCTGGGCTTCTAAGTGTTTGTGAGATTAAACATTTCTATAACAGAGTAAAATAATTCAATATTACATGCAGACCTACTTTATCCATCTATTCAGTCAAGAATTGAGCTCTTGTTGAGTCGTGACCCTTTGTTAGGCTTCTCCTGCCTGGACTGTTCCTTCCTCTTCCTCCTCCAGATCTTTTGGTACCCTCCACGGCCCCACCTTCAGTTTTTCTTTTACTCACTCCACCTAGTCTTGCTGAATAATATCCCCTGACAACTTCACGCACAACTAAATACTGATTGCATTAATTCTGCTGTCAGCTCAGCTGCAGACTCATTCATACATCAACCTGGCAGAAATCTCCATCTGGATGTTTCCTTGGCACTTGAAACTGAGTAGTGAAGTCTAAAGCCTTACTTTTTCCTGAACCCGTCCTTTATTTGGTGTTGCTTATGTAGCTCTTGAAACACTCTCTACCTTGGGCTTACATAATACTGCACATTGTGATTTTCTTTTCATCTCTCTGGGCCCCATTTTCACCTATGCAGGCTCTCCTTTCTCTGCGCTACTTTTAAGCATTATTGCTCCTTAAGGCTTGGTCTTAGCCCCTGCTCATTCCATATGTTTTCTCCAGGCTAGAGCATCTATTCATCCATGTGACTCACGAAAGCGTATCTCAATTCTAGGCTCCTCCTCTGGACTCCAGACCCACATATCCTACACAGCATCAGTTTTTCTTTTTTTAAAAGGATATTGTGAAGGTAGCTCACACTGAACACATTCAAAATTAAGGTCATAAATTAATCTGGCCAGACCTGATCCTTTTGTATTACTCCACATATTGGTAAATGGCATCGTCGTGCAGTCAATTGCCCAACTAGAAATTTAATTTTCTGAATTTCTTCCCACTTCATGTCTAATCCACCTGCACATCCTACTGCTGTTACCTCCTGAAGATCTTCTTAACCTGTTGACTTTTTCCCGTTATCATCATCACTGTCTTCTGCTTGGACCACTGTAATAGTCTTCTACCTGTACTATTAGTTAGTAATCACTTGGAGTCTCTTTCTAATTTCTTCATTCTCCACCATGTGGCCAGAGTCAACTTATCAAAATATAAATCCAATCGTACAGCCTCTATTCCCATCTTTTGCTCAAAATCCCTCTTTGGCTTCTTTTTGATTTTAGGATAAGGGGCTCCATTACCTGCCATACACTTTCACCATGTTCCCGACCCCCTCCGCCTGCTCCAACTACTGCCCTCCTTCCAGCCCTTCATATTCACATCCTCTCCTGCTACAAGAACTGTGCCCATGCTGTTTCTCCTGCCTGGAGTGTTCCTTCCTCTTCCTCCTCCAGATCTTTGAGATTGTCTGTGTGTCACAATCTCAAAGAAGCCTTCCTTGATCTGCCTGACTGCAGAAGAGGTGTCTCTATTCACCCTCATTGTACCATGTGCCTCTTCTTCAAAGCCATTACCAAAATCGTCATCTTATATTTGATTACATTTTTATTTTATTAGCAATACTAAACTTTAAGCTCCCCAGCAGGGAATGCTTTTGGTTTTGGTCATCATTGTATTTCTAGCACCCAGGAGAGTACCAGACACAATTTGGATATTCAGAAAAAATTTGGGGAATATTGGGTGGCACGACCATTGTATAGTTGTCATACCCAGTGACCTGACTCAGTTTTGATTCTCTATACTCCTTCATATTGTCCTCCAAGTCCTTTAGTCTAACTTCTTAGTATTCCTCAAATGTATCCACTTCTTTCCATCTCTAGAGCTACAATTTGAAGTCGAGAACTATCTTGGATCCATAATAACTTCTTAACTAGACTTCTTGCCCTTCAATTCTACCCCTGTCAATCCATTCAGTATTTTGCCACCAGAGTGAATAGTTTTATAAAATATCTTATTGTATTATTCTCTTGTCAATGGCTCCCTTGGAGTTTTCAGGGGAAATTTTTTCATAGTATTAAATATAAGGCTTTCCTTGGTCTGAATCTTGCTACTTTTTCCAGCCTACTACCTATCAGAAGTGCTGCTAGACACAGAACAACAGTAATAGCTGAGATTAGCTGACTCTGTCCTGTGTGCCAACTACTATGCCAAGTGTTTTGCACACATTATCTCTTCTAACCTTAATAACTTTTGTAGTGGGTAGCATCGTCTCTTTTTACAGATAATAATCATTTGTCCAAGATCACCCAGTTAGAAATAGCAGAGAGAGCAGTAAAGCCTTATCTGTCTGTCCCAAGCACTATGCTATGGAACTTACTTTGATGATATGGAAGTCCCATCACCATCCTGGGTTTCAATTGACTTCTATGTGCAAGAGCAAGGCTACTGAAGAGCGTAGGCTGTGGAGTCAGATCTGAGCACCATCAGGACTCTGCCCTTTATTGACTAGTTGGTCGGTGAAAAAGAGTATCCACTGCACAGAGCTTTGGGAGAATGAAAAGAGAGTATATGTGTAATGGGCTGAGCATAGTATTCGGCACAGAGTAGGCACTCAATACATATTTAAATAAATGAATAGAAATGCTAGTGGGATGCAAGGCAAGATTCTCACCTCTTAAATGCTTATCATTTCATTGAGGGAGCATTGGCGTGCACAGGAAAAAGGTCCTATGTCATAGGTTTTATGTGCTATGGGAATCCAAAGAACACAGCAGCTTTGATTTGCAATCAGCATACAGTGAGCTCAAAGCAGATGTGGAAGATGTGCTCTGTGATGATACAAGGCAGCAGAGCCAATGTGAGTCAAGGTCGGGAATATAGATTTGAAAGTCATTACACTGCAGGCTGTACTTGAAACTGGAGGGAAACAGTTTACCAAATGTAAGGAAGTAAACAGTGAGAGCAAGAGCTCTCCTTGGAGAAAACACATCTTTAAGGTTGTAATGAGAAAGGTTAGACAAATGAGGACCAGTGGGATGGGAGAATATTCAGTGTCATGGCAGATAAAAGAAACACATATTTTCCAGATAGAGTTATATCTCAGACTAAAGAATGACAAATAACCATATTCCCACAGATAGTTTAATCCTCTTTCAGATGAAGAACTATCCCTTGTCTTTGGTGAAATCCTAGAGACGTTTGAATCAAATTAACTTGAGGAGATTAAATTTTCTTTTTCCTTTGTATCTGATTCCAGTGTATGGAAACCCAAACGCTGCAGAGAAAGTCTGGAATCCTGAGCAGTAATGGCGCTGATGAAAATACACTTCCTCGGCTGGCGGCAATGATCATTGCTTTGTCCCTGCAAGGCGTTTGTCTGGGGCAAAGAAACCTGCCTTCCCCAGACTATTTCACAGACTATATTTTCAGTTCCTTGAATAGTACGAATACTCTCCATGTGTCGGGTAAGGACGTTTTTCATGAATTTAACTTCCAAGTCACACCTGCTAAATAAATCGTGCCAAAAGGAAAGACTGACACTTTTCGATGACTAAACATGTTCAGGTATGTTGTCAACACCATTTTATCTTGGTGTGTAGTAAGACAGCTCAGGTGGCCTTCTCAAGGCAAACGTACCGTGGTGATATTTATGTGGTGCCGAAGCAAAAATATGGACTCGGCTCATGTCTGCAGTGATGATGAAATTATGGGTGTGGAGGGGAAGGGAAAGCTTTTGATGATCTGTCACGAATACTAACTGAACCTGTTCCTGCCTGGTACATAGGGCTGAGCCAGGGGTGACAAAATAACATGTAGAATGATGAAATAGTATGCCCAATGGTGCAAGAGCCTTGGTAGCAGTTTGCTTGTAATCATAAAAGTGTCATTTAATTTAATTTAATGTGATTATTTTATTCATTTATTTTCATAGTCTATTACATTATCTGAGGAATAAGTGGAAGGTGGCATCAGAAATGAAAAGCATTGTCTTTGTTATAACAGTAAGAGGGAAATGAAGGTAGATTTTAAAAAGAAGGTTTTTATTTAAATAAATATCATCTAGTTATCAGAAAACAGGTTTCTAGTGGAGGCAATTCTTAGAAATAGACTTTGTGTGATAGATACACCTTTTAAAAATTTTTCAATTAGAATTGACATTCAATATTATTTTATATTAGTTTCAGGTGTACAGCATAGTAGTTAGACATTTATATAATTTACAAAGTGATCCCCTCACCTGCCCCCGTTAAGTCTGCCCACCTGGCACCCTACACAGTTATTACGATGTAATGGACTATATTCCCTGTGCTGTACTTCACATCCTTGTGACGATTGTGTAACTACCAGTCTGTACTTCTTAGTCCCTTAGTCCCCTTTTCACCCAACACCCCTCCCACTTGGCAGTCACGAGTTTGTTTTTTGTATCTATGAGTCTGTTTCTGATTTGTTTATTTTTCTTCTATAGATTTCACATTTCACATTTCACATTTAAGTGAGATTATATGTTGTCTTTGTCTGACTTATTTCACTTAGCATTATACCTTCTAGGTTCATCCATGTTGTCACAAATGGTAAGATTTCTTTTTTTTTTTTTAATGGCTGAGTGAGATTCCATTGTATATATGTATCACCTCTTCTTTTTTATTTTTCAAATTTTTATGTTTTTATTTTTTCAATTATAGTTGACATATAATGTTACATTAATTTCAGAGATTAAACATTTATATAACTTATAGTGATCATCCCAGTAAATTCAGTACCCACCTGACTCCATACATAGTTATTACAATACTACTATATTCCCCATGCCATATTCTATATCCCCGTGACTATTTTCTAGCTACCAATTTGTACCTCTTAATCCCCTTCCCCCTTTATCCATCCCCCATCCCCCAATCTGACAACCATCAAAGTGCTCTCTGTAAATACAACCTTGTTTCTGTTGTTTGTTTGTTTATCCTGTTCTCTAGATTCCACATATGACATTTGTCTTTCTCTGCCAGATTTATTCCACTCAGCACAATACCATACTCTAGGTTCATTTATGTTGTTGCATATGGCTAGATCAAATTCTTGTTTATGGCTGAATAGTGTTCCATTCTATATATGTATCACTTCTTTATACATTCGTCCATTGATGGATACCCAGGTGGCCTCCATATCTTGGTTATTGAAAATAATGCTGCAATGAATATATGTATTCACATGGCCCTTCAAAGTAGTGTTTTGGGTTTCTTCAGATAATTACCAGAAGTAGGATTACTGGGTCCTTTTTTCTCTCTTGTTATAGTCTTTGTTTTAAAGTCTATTTTGTCTTGTATAAGTATTGCTACCCTAGCTTTTTTTTTGTTTCCATTTTCATGCAACATCTTTTTCCATTCTTTTACTTTCAGTCTGTATGTCTTTTGATCTAAAGTGAGTCTCTTGCATATGTAAGGGTCTTATTTTTTGTTTTTTTCACGCATTCTGCCACCCTTTGTCTTTTTATTGGAGCATATAGTCCATTTACATTTAAAGTAATTACTTTAATGATAGGTATGTGTTTATTGCCTTTTTGTTATTTTTTTGGTTCTTCTCTATTCTTTTGATCTCTTTCCTTTTGATTTTTTAAAGTTTTTTGTTGGATTCCTCTTTTTTCACTTTTTGCGTATTTTTTGTATGGTTTAGGTTTGTGGTTACGAGGTTCACATAGATCCATCTATATCTATAACAGTTTATTTTAAGCTGATGGGAGCTCTATGTAGGTAAATAACTGCTTTTCTCTTACTGCTTTTAAGATTCTCTCTTTGTCTTTAACCTTTGGCATTTTAATTATGATGTGTTGGTGTGGGCCTCTTTGTGTTCATCTTGTTTGGGACTCTCTGTGCTTCCTGGGCTTGTATATCTATTTCCTTCACTGGGTTAAGGAAATTTTTCAGTTGTCATTTCTTCAAATAGGTTTTCAATTCCTTGCTTTCTCTCTCCTTCTGATATCTCTATGGTGTGAATGTTAGTACACTTGATGCTGTCCCAGAGGCCTCTTAAACTATTCTCCTTTTTTTGAATTCTTTTTTCTCGTTGCTGTTCTGATAGGGTGTTTTCGGCTACCTTACTTCTAAATCGCTTATTAGATCCTCTGCTTCATCTAATCTACTGTTAATTCCTCCTAAGATATTCTTCATTTCAGTTATTGTATCCTTCATTTTTGACTAGTTCTTTTTTATGTCTTCTATCTCCACTTTTATATTTTCTGTTTCTTTGTTAAAGTTCTCACTGAATTCATCTATTCTTCCCCTAAGTTCATTGAGCATCCTTATAACCATTGTTTTGAACTTTGCATCTGGTTGTTTGCTTGTCTTGATTTTGTTTATTTCTTTTTCTGGAGCTTTGTTCTCTTCTTTCATTTGGGACATATTTCTTTGTCTTCTCGTTTTGGCTGCCTACTTGTGTTTGTTTCCATGCATTAGGTAGGGCTGCTATGTCTCCTAATCTTAGTAGAGTTGCCTTATATAGTAGGTGTGCTGTGTGTCCCAGTGGCAGTCTTCCCTGGTCACCTGAGCCTGGTGCTCCAGGTGTGTCCCTTGTAAGGGTGGTATGTTTCTCCTGTTTTAGTTGAGTCTTGCTTGCTGTTTGTTTGTCAGTGGGAGAGATTGACCCTTAGGCTGATTGGTTGTGATGACTGGCCATGACCAGTGCAGGAGCTCTTACATAAGGGCTGACCCTACAGAGTAGGATTTGCTTTAGCAGGGCTCTGGTCCCTGCCTTGTCTGCCTTTTCGGGGTCCTCAGATGGGAACCTGAGCGGTGCTCCAGCTCAGACCGAAGCTGGCTACTAGGAGCGCAAGCCAGGGCCTCCTGGGAGGGACTCTGTCACAGGCTAAGTTCAGTTGCAGCCTGCCTGGGGCCACCTTGTATGAGCCACCAAGCCATCATCAGATAGCTGGCACCCATACTGGGCTTGGAAGTGCCTCAAGAGGCGAAGCTATAAACAGAGGTTGCGGCTGCTAGTGCCTGGCTTGGGGCTGCTCAGCAAGAGGTACCGGGCACGCTGAGGCCAGATGCTGCTTGTTTAGGTTTTGTGAACCTTGGCAAGATTTTAGAAAAGTCTAAAGCATGAGCTGTTTGTATAGAAAAGCCACTGGAAGTAGGTTGGGTGGGTGCAAGTTGGGAGGTGTGGTGTCTCAGGGGATCACCAGGGCAGGGCGACCAGTGTGAGCTGTGTCAATGGAGTCCCAGATAGGGTACCCGCCTGTGTCTGCAAGCCAGGAGAAGGAGAGCTCAACAAAGGAACAGTGCCCTCTGCCAGACAGAAGAGAAAGTTGCCCATCCAGCCCTTGCCCCGAAGCCAGAAATTCAGTTCCTCTTGTATGTCCCTGGTGCCTTTTGAGCTGTTGCCCCAGGGCTGGAGCTCAGAGCGAGTGAGTCCATCACCAAGTAAGTTAGTATGTTTGTGCAGGGCCCTTTAAGAGGAGTGCCTGGGACTCCCCCAGCCCTTCGTCTCATTCAGCCACAATCTCTGTTGGTTTTCACAGCCAAAAGTTGTGGAGACTTCTCTTCCAGGCACTGGAATCCTGAGCTCGGTGTAGGGCTGGGACTCATCATTCCTCTGGAGGGGACTCTGCAGCTGAGATATTTCTCCCAATTCTCAACTGCCATTGGTGAGAGTAGGATCAGCCCATTTTGTATCTCTGCCCCTCCTACCATGTTTGAAGTGTCTTCTTCCGTGTGTCCCTAGCTGTAGGACTTTTGTTCAGCTAGACTTCAGGTGACTCTCCGTGGTGGCTATTCTGTACTTTAGTTGTAATTCTAATGTGGTTGTGAGAGGAGGCGAACAAAGCATTTACCTGCTCCAATATCTTGACCGGAACTCTGTGACACCTCTTTTATATCCAGTAGTCTATTGATGGGCACTTAAATTGCTTCCATATCTTGGCTATTATAACTAGTGTTGCAGTAAACATAGGGGTACATAGATCTTTTTGAATTAATGTTTCGAATTTCTTCGGATAAATACGCAGAAGTGGGATTGCTGGGTCATAGGTAGTTTCATTTAATTTTCTGAGGCACTTCCTTCCTGTTTTCCATAGTGGCTGTACCAATTTGCAGTCCCACCATCAGTGCATGAGAATTTCCTTTTCTCCACAACCTTGATAACATTTGTTTTTTGATATTAATGATAGGCATTCTGATAGGTGTGAGGTGATATCTCATTGTGATTTTAATTTGCATTTCTCTAATGATTAGTGATTTTGAGCATCTTTTCATATGTCTATTGGCCATCTGTATGTCCTCTAGAAAAATGTATATTCAGATCCTCTGCTCATTTTTTTGTTAGATTTTTTTTTTTTTTTTTAGTGTTTAGTTGTATGAGTTCTTTATAAATTTTGCCTATTAACCCCTTACCAGATGTATTGTTGGCAAATATCTTCTCTCATTCCGTAGGTTCTCTTTTCATTTTGTTGATAATTTTCTTTGCCGTGCAAACCCTTTTTAGTTTGATGTAGCCCCACTTGTTTATTTTTTTCTTTTGTTTCCCATGCCCAAAGAGATACATCAGAAAAATTTTTACTAAGAGCAATGTCAGAGAGTTTACTGCCTATTATTTCTTCTAGGCATTTTATGGTTTTAGGTCTTACATTTAAGTCTTTAATCCATTTTGAGTTTATTCTTGTGTATGGTGTCAGAAAGTGGTTCAATTTCATTGTTTTGCATGTATTTGGTCAGTTTTCCCAATATGATTTATTGAGTAGACTATCGTAAGTTACCACATTGTACGTTCTTGCCTCCTTTGTCATAGGTTAAATGACCATATGGGTGTGGATTTATTTCTGGCCTATCTATTCTATTCCATTGATCTTTGTGTCTGTTTTTATGCCAGTACCATGCTGTTTTGATTACTATAGTTTTGTACTATGGTTCGATATCAGGTAGTATGATACCTCCAACTTTGTTCTTCTTTCTCACGATTGCCATGGCTATTCGGAGTCTTTTATGGTTCCATATAAATTTTTGGCTTATTTGTTCTATTTCTGTGAAAAATGCCATTAGTATTTTGATAGAGATCGCATTGAATCTGTAGATTACAATTGTCAATATTATTCTAATTAGTGCTCAGATTGTTTTCTTTTTGACCAATGAAATTTTATTCAACTTGACACCTAAGTCTTTTTGACAAAGACTTTAAAACATTTTATATTTTCTTGCTCTCCAGTATGTGCTGTTTCAGGGTGCATTTCCTGCCTAGGCCTGGAAACAAATCAAAATATTTGTTTCACCAAATATTTTTACCTTTACATAAACAAAGTAATCAAACTTTTCTCTTATTGCTCTTGGATTTTTAGTGATAAAGTTTTTCACATTCCCAGATTATAGAGAAATTCACCCATGCTTTCTTCTAGTACTTGTATGTTTTCATTGCTGATCCATTTTGGATTAATTCTGATGTATGTTGTAAGGAATAAGATCCGGGTTATTTTTATTATGTGACTATCCAGTTTTCCTTCTACCTCTTATTGCAGTGAAAATTATTTCCTCCATTGATTTGAAATGCCACTTTTATATAATATAGTAATAAACACAATTAGGAATGTTTCTGTTTTCTATTTTGTTCTGTTGTCTCACTTTATTCACATGGCAATACCATTCCATTTTACTTATAGTGGCTTTATAGTGTATTTTAATGTCTGGTAGAGCTAGCTTTCTGCAATACTCTTCTTTTCAGGAAATTCCTGGCTTGTTTATTTCTCCTAAAAAACATCATCAAACTGTCAAGCT